TTTCTGTGTTGTTCTTGTAAGTTCTTTTCTATGTAAGATTGTTTAGGTTAGGTTATTTTTTCTTTCTTCTACAACAATCTATATTGTATCCTTATGTGTTAATTCTTGATACTCATCAATGAGAATTAAAAGTTGGAAAAATCTCAGTGATTGTATTCAACCCCTCCCTTTACAATTATTTTATGTTTATTGTCATTCCATTCAGGACCAACAACTTTAAATAAACCATTTTCTTAATCAAACACAATATCGCATTCATCATCTTTGCCCATTCACAAGTTCAAGAATACATTGATTTATAAGCAATAATACATCTCTTTTTTCAAAAACATAGCCATTTTTTCATGAAATACCTTCAAATACGTAAAAATCAAGGATAAACATAAAACATGTTCAAGTTCCACAATGACATTTATGTTCCTAAAATACGTATTTATAACACATATTTGAAGATCTCGCATTTACTATCAAAAAGTGTTGATGAGAGCGAAAATGAAAATGAGGAAAGGAAAAAAAGAATCTACTTATTCCAGATATGTTTTAATGGGAAAAAACCATCCCTAACTATGCCAATGATTAAGTATTTAAAATACTGATTTAGAAAAAAAGCTATTCAAATACTTCTTTAGAACGAGGATTCTGACAAAATTTACAGACTACACTCAGTTTCATCAATATCTTATACTGATTATGAACGAATAAATAAGTAAACTTTGAGAAAAAAAGGAATATTTTAAAAACCAATATATTATATGCTTTATAGACAAGAAATGGAGGTGGAAACCAATTTGAAACAAAGTCATAATGTTGTGTGGTTCATGGGGCATGGGCACTAAAGGGGCCTTTTTTTTTAGGGTTGATTCATCACATGTTCTCTATTCCCATATCTTCCAAATATTATGCCCCCATGCTATGCTTGATTTCATTGTTGGAAAACAATCTTCTAATGCAATATGGGGTTGTACAGTACAACCCCATATTTGCATTTTGCAAGTCCTTCGGCCTGATTGGTTTGAGTTTGCCTCCAAATGTCAAAAGTATCAGGAGGTCTCAAGTTCAAATCCAAAGAGGAATAAAAATCCATTTGTGGTCACGGAGGTTCAAATGCGGTGACTCATGGCAACCTGAAAAACAGGTGGTCGTCCTGCGATTAATCGGCTCGTATAACGAGTTGGATATCCAGATTAATAAAAAAAAATCTGACTTTCTTTTGAGAACCTGTTTTTTTTTTCGTTGAGAACCACGCACAGTGTGCACATGTCCCTCTTAAGATGGTATTCATCAGTAAAAATACGTCTGTATTTCTAATGAATATGTCATGTGTCATGCTATAGACAGCCCCTCGTTTTTTTAATAAAATAATATTAAAAAATAGAGTTGGTATTGATATGTAGTTTGATTATAAGGTAAGTTGTAAAGGAATAAAGCAAACCAAAAATGGTGTCATTATTAATCATTTAAATGCATGAAATGACAAAAAGGCCCCCCCATGTGGTGTCTCAATTTGTACATCTGGCTCAACTCCACCTCCTTTCATTTCTCCATTATTATTTGTCCTTTTTCTCCTTTAGACAAGTCTAGTCTAGTCTTGTTTTATTTATTTATTTATTTATTTATTTATTTATTTATTTATTAAGATTAATAAATAGAAAATAAATAATAGATGCCTAATAATTCATCTGAGTTGGAATTATTGTTAATAAAAATACTATAAATTAATTAAGTGAGATATTTATAGGAATTATAATAGTTTATTTATTACTAGAAGGGTACTTGCGCAATGCAGCGAAATACATCTTAATTTTAATATTTTATTTTATTTGTTATCTCAATTGATTTTATAATATGGTTTTATGTGGTTTTGAAAAGGCGATTATGTTTTTATTTTTTAATAAAATATAAATTTGAAGATATCATAAAATTTTGACAAAATTGTATTGATATTAGTATCAAATTAACTATTTAAAATTTCTCATTTTTGTTTTTTAATTATAGTTTAATTTAAGTTCAATAACGAAGTAATTTATATGTGGTTTAGTAATATAATTTTCTTATAAAGATAATAGTTAATTATTTTTTAAACTCGATAAGTATTCTAATTATATTTTAGATTTTTTATATTTTAAAATGAGATTTTATCTTTTATCTGGTTATGTTTATCTGGAGTTAATTACACGAATTCAAACATAGAGCTTTAATAAGTTGTACTTATGCATAATTTACTTGTAATCTTTAAATTTAAGTAATATGCATCAATATATAGTGTTTCATGCATAAAAAATAATTTTTAAAACTTTTTGTCGAATGCTTTATAATATAGTGTAGATGATCTGGATATTTAAGTAAGGATGGTGACTCTTGTTGATAAGCGCTTACCCTATAAGCATTTGGTAAACAACCTCTTAAACATGTAATCGGTTGTGTTCATTATGATTATTAGCAGATGTTTCGACCCGGTTTCATAAGTTACGAAAGGGAAATGTCGAAACGACTTGTAGATCAATGTAAGCGGAAAATCAACGATCTAATTGGAACAGACTGACCATAAATGGATATTCTATTGTAATTGGATTAGATCGGATTGAAATTTTCAACAACCAAATTGTATCGGTCGGTTCTTGGATGGCAGTCTAGAATCAACCAAACCGAACTGACCAATATCCAATTAACCATCCAACCATTATCCAACAATCATCAAATTAATTTGTTTTCATATTGCTTAAATTGAAATTTGTTTTGTGTTGGTTTTTGATATTTTTGCCTCGGTTGCGTTGGTTTTAACACATATTAAAACTGATTAATCAGTTTTTTCATTGTTGGAAAAACATGATTCAATTAACACATTGGATAAATCCAATTCGATCTGATCATCCATTGGATGTCGGGTGGATACAATCTGTTCAATGTATATCCAATGGATGGAACAGAACCAGTCCAACTATCCATTGGGTTTGGATTGGATGGGTTCTCCAATGTTAATCAGATCGGATCAGTTGACAAAATTCAACATCTAATGGATGATTAAATCGGTTCAGTTCCCCTCACATTCAATGAATGTCAGATGACGAACAGGCCCACTCATTTGTTTCCAAATAAGAGTATGCCCATCTAACTATACTTTTACAAGAGAAGGAAGTTGTTACTAGATGCAGTAAGCACAAATATAGAAGCCCTACTTCGAGACCGGCAAGGTTATTTATTTAACAATCATAATCGAAACAATTCAGTGTAGGATTAGAAAAACGTGAAGATATTATGAAGAATCGTTTGTAAACTCGCAACAACTGGGCAACAACAATACATGTGTAGATATTCTAAACGTTGCCATAGTTGGTGAACTATAAGCTCAAGCGTATAAATCTTCCAAACGGCTTTTTTATTTCATAAGTTTAGCATGAACTTTAGGCACGAGACAAACATGAACAAAAAGATTGGCGCATATATATCGAGGCATAGCGAGTAGACTTTGTTTGTACTATGTATCTTTCAGCTCTTGATTAGGTCATAATATGAAAAGAAACAGAAGTTTCAACTGAATCATGTAACACTTACACAACCTCAAATAAGGGAAATTGCACGCAACCAATGATGTCTTAATTTAGGTATATGGGCTAACGCACATCGACTAATTTGTTATGACACAAAAGATAATAGTCAGCAAAATCCCAAACGGCCTTAGGGAACCGAACTGGTGACCCATTGAAAGGAGCTCCAAGGTCTAGTCTTTTATTTTTCAGTTGAGTTGGCCCTCGGTTTAGCCATTCATTCAAAAGTAGCGGATTCAAATTCTTTTAAGGATGCTTGGTTTGAGGAAATTTTGTTTGTCGGATTTGATGGGATTCCAAATCGTTCCACGAAATAAAATCCCTCAAAATCATTTCGTCAAACCAAAATCTCCCAAAAAAATGATGAATGAAAATAAAAATCATTACCAATTTTTGGTTTGATTTAATGAAATTTCTTAATCTCAGAATTTATATGGATTATGAACATTAAAATTCACATCAAAATATCATAAACATGTATAAAAGTTGCCATTTGATCTTAACGGGGCTGATTTTGGGGACAGAATTTACAGATAACAAGTGTGTTGATTTCAGTTTTCAGAATCAGAATGTTTTTGAGAGATTTGAATTTCATGAAAGAATTTAGAATATTTGGTGTGTTTAGTTTGTAAGATTTGAAATGGAACGAATTCCATTTTTAGCAATAATTTATAAAAAATATATAAAAATAATTAATTTACCTTTTAGTAACTGATTATTACAAAACAAGTGTTTTTAACACATTTTAAAACATCATTACAAACAAATCCTATGAAATCCCACGAAATACTGACTGCCCTAAGAGGATGTTTACTAAACGCTTACCCAATAGGTGCTTACCGGGCAATTTTCCTTACTGGACGAACATGGCAAAGCCCAGGAATCTTACCGGGTAAAAGCGATGATAAGAATGGAGAGTCTTATCCGGTAAGTGAGACTAACGACTCTTACCCAGGTAAGCACTTACCAGATATATTGTTGCACATGATACGGTTTTGATATATTACAATCTTACCAAAAAAATAAATTATAGTGTTGGCTTCTAACGTTAAACACTTACCGGGTAAGCATTTAGATAAACAACCCATAAATCCCATGTGTATGGGATTTAAATGAAGTCCGGGGATGTCAAATCCTAGAAATCCTTCAAACCAAACATGAGTTTCGAATGAAACTCGATTCCAAATCTAATCAAATCCCGCAAACCGGGACCTTAGTTTTTTTTATTAAAGACATTTTTAGAAGACATGTGGTCACATGGAAGCCATTGACAACCCTCATAATCAATATGCTACCAACTACAACATTTGTAGTGCAACTTAAGCAAAAGCCATTTAGTCATAGCACATGGCATAGAATGTGACGTATAATACCTCTCAGGCTCTCACTCTATAACCAAATCTATTAAAAGCTAACACTACATTTTATGCATTGTTACATCCTGCTTTTCAAACCATTTAACACGTCAATTTAATGCAATACAAATTAGGGTGGTACCCACTATGGTTGCTATTTAAACAGTAGCCCAGCCAAATGGTCCCAGCAGGCTCACTTCAAGAATCATCAATGTTCCACTTTTTTCAGCACAAGCAAAATAGGCACTAGAATATGATGAAATCTGGCACCAAATATTTGATCATAAATCAAGAAACTGTCTTGAAAAAACACTATAAAAGGTCGGATTTTTGAAATTTTAAATGGTGCAAGTGTTCTAAGAGGAAGGATTATAAGGAAAACTAGAATGGAGTTGCCTGAGAGAATGATACCGAAACTATGACTGGAACCACCGGCCGAGCCGTCTGGTACCTTGCTTTTGGCCATCGTTTCTGTCGGTTCGGTTTCCCGAGAACTTGGATCGGTATTGTTCGATAAGTATGTCAAGTTTATCCACTGTGTCTTGTCCTAACGGGTCCTTATTTTGTCTATTTTTCCTTCTTTTCATCGAACCTGTTTCTTCATCCTGCGGTTCTTTGGGATCTCTTGACCGTTTTTTAATAATCTCCGTAGGCCTAGCTGAACCGGACGTGGTTCCTTCCATGGCTGCACTTCGACCATTCGGTCTTTTTTCTTCTTGGACTGCCAACTGGTCCTTAGAGTCTGTAAGCTTCTTCAAAGGAGTCTTGTATTTTTTGGCGGGTTTACCTCCCTCGGAAGCAGCTCCTTCTGTTTCGACAGTCTTATCGTTCCTACTTTCTTTCGTTGGACCTCGGGTTTTGCGTTTTTTTGATTCGTCGTTTGGCTGGTTGACTGGTTTGTGAAAATTAGCGTTTTTCCCTGAGCCGTGTGCATCATTGCTGAATCCGTGCTGCTGAGCTTCGATCTTATCATTACGCTGCCTCAATGTCTGAACGTTATCAAGAGCGAATTCCACAATTGGACGATGCTCGGAAGTAAAAGTTTCTGTGTTCCATAGAAGTCGTGGTGTAAATTACAGAGAATATAAAACCCATGCCTCAAATAAAAAATAAATGAACAAATTATATGTTAAAACAGTGTTAATGAAGATTAGTACCGAAACAATAACCAAACCAAACAAACCCAGTACATGTCATCCAAAGATGGGGTCCCCCCCGGGGGGAGTGCGCATAGTGGTTGTTTCCGTGTGGGCAAAAGTGTGAAGAAATGATAAAGCTTGCTAAAAATGCCGAAGCAGAACAATAAGGAAGTGGTAGAAAATGAAAACGAGTCATAAATAAGCAAGTAAAGCAACAACATTTAAACAACCAAACAAACAGATGGTACAAACAGAAGCAGATTAGTGATGAAACAATGCCACACAATGTGGTTGACCACCAAAGCGGTCAATCTGCTAAGGGGAAAACACATACCAGGATTATTATTAAGAACTCTTAGAGCCACAAGCGCATGCTGATGCTCTGTAAACTCGATAAAAGCAACCCCACGAGAATGATTCTTTGAAATTTCTTTTCCTTTGTTAGAATCCTTCAACAACTTAATCTACACAAAGCATCACAGTGAAGTAAGGAAAAGCAATTAGCAAATGGAACGGAAGCCTAAGCATTCACATTCATAACTAACCTGTCGGATCGTAGGTTTTTGTTTTGTAGCTCGAGATGTAACTGCTTCTATGCAAAGTCTTTTAAGTTGCTTTTCATTCATTGACTTGGGTACATTGTACATGATGAGTCTCGTCCTTGAAACGTGGAAGTTCGGGGATTGAAGCTTAGTTTCCTTCTTCTGCTCCAACCTGCAATTCATATTTCCCAAAGGAAGGTGAGTTCAGGAATTGGAACTAAAGAACTGCAAGCATAAAGAGGACACGAGAAACAGGGAAATGGATCTTGTACACGGTTTCCGGCATATGTGGTACAGGACAATACAAAAACGTATCCCACGTTTTGCGTGACATTAGACTGTGACAGGACAGACACAGAGTAGGACAAAAAATGCATTGTTTTGTCCCACCAAAATAGGTGGAATAAAAATCAGGAAGATGAGACAAGATTGGTAAATTACTAAACCAACCATTTCAAATTAGAACCCTAAAACCTTCCACAATTTTTTCATCCACCTACCTCATTCTCGACCGTCCAGCCCTGTCCGGTTACCAAACACACCCTAACCGTTAGTTATAAGCCATGGCCTCCAAAATAGAGAACCCTAACATAAACCCTTCAAGTAAGATACTAGTGAAGCTGCAGCATCATGTTTTATCAAAGAGCCCAATTCGACATTCTATTATGGGACAAGGGGAATATACATCAACAGTAAAGATGCAGCGAAGCCATATGTTTTTTTAAAACAAGTTTACAAGTTTGATTATTAAGGGGCCATGTAACAGAATAGGAATACAATAACCCATCTTCTAGCACTAACGATCTTGACCTACTTTTCGCTTTTTACGTTCACGTTTTTCCAATCGTTTCCTTCTCTACAATAAGTCAATACTTTCTTTTAATACTTACGATCGACGCTTCGACATGTCGCTATCAGAAACTCCTTGGGCAGATGGAGTACCCTCAAGAATAACACCTTCCTATAGAAACAAAGATGACATTTATTTCTGTCAGGCAAGAATCTCGAAAGCCTATTGTAAATACTGAACAAGACTACCTGCAACAGGTGTTAAACAAGTAGGAACCAACCTTAGCTAAGTAGAGATTGCGATGGTCATGCTCTTCCTTTTTCGTCTTCTCTACTTCCTTATCGTGAGCTGCTTTCTTATTCAAAGCCTTCAAAACTTTTAATTGTCTGCCTTTGAGGATAATACCCAAACTAGTTACAGCAGTTGCTGCTGAAAAAGCAGCATCAGCGGCATCCATTGTTATAAATTTAAGAAATCCGGTTCCCCTTGGTCTCCTGCAAAACAGTTTAACAGTAATTGTTAACTTATAATGAAGAGTAAGCAGAATAGATAATTAACAATCAAAACAGATCAATACTTGGTGATTGGATGAAGAACAGGAACAAACGACTGGACTTCACCAAATGCTGAAAACCGCTGTTTTACTTCATCAGTAGTAGCATCAAAAGGAAGATTACAGATAAAGAGTGTTCTCTGCAAATCTTCTTCTGACTCAGCGGGCTTAAAATTGGTATTTTCAGTTTTGGTCAAACTTTCAGGTTTTGATACGTGTGGAACAGTTGTGGGCCCGTCAGATAATTTGTTGTGTACGTTGATGGTTTCCTCATCCTGTTTCCTCTGAGGCAAGATGATATCACCATTGACAGAAGCAGTAGGCTCATTCAATGAAGAAAGGAAGTTGTTTAGAACTTTCTTTGCAACATCTGCTTCCTCATCGAAATTCACTTCTTCCTCTACTGAATCAGAGCCATCTGGAACAACAGCAGCTCCATGAGAATGCTGCGTGTTTTTGTCCAGTTCCACAAGGTCATCCTCCAGATCACTACTGGAATCCTCTTCGTCACTTTCTTTCTGTCCTGTAAATAGCTTAAACTTAGATTACACAAGTTTGTTTAAAGCTAAAAAAGAAAGACGCAACAAGACAAAGCCACAGAAATAAACAGATAGCTCACAGAATGGAAACAAAAAAACAGAATGATTTGCGAACACACAAGCGAAAAACATCCAGGCATCTAGAGAAGGGTGATGTTAAGAAGCTCTGTTGTAACGAGAAAATACAAAAAATAACTTTGATCAAACTCACTCCTAGATCAAGGCTATGTTTGATAAGCTAGTTGTTCTTGATAAGCTAACTGTTACCTGAAAGCTAGTTGATAGGGAATAAACTAGTCATGTTTGGTAAAAAAAACTAGCTTAAAAGCTAGATGACAATGTAAAATGACCTAAAAGGATGTGTTAAAAAATTAATTGGAAAAATATAAGAGCCATAATCGGGAGAAAAAAGAAGTGGGAAAAATAACCCTGGAGCTTATTGAAACGCCACCTGAAGTGACTTCTCAAAGAACTAGATTATGGTTGTCAAACATGCCCCAGATAGCCTTCTACTCTCTGAGAGGGTAAAGAAATGGCCAGCCCATATCCCAGCAGAAAAACAGTCTTTCTAAAAACAAAACCCTTCTGAAAGTTTTGCCAAGGAGTGACATGAAAAACCAAAAGCTTGCCCTCCCTCTTTATCTATCCAAGGGATGGAAAGGCAGAGTCCTTTGGGAAATGAACAAATTCATTATCCTAGATCACTACGAACTACTAGATATATTAAATTTCACACATGCTTAACAGTTCTTAAGATGTAAAGACTCCAGAAAGATGTGTTCAAGCTGATAACCGATTAAACTTGTCTTCAGTCTGAGATATGTAACAGATAACACATATAGCACGTAAACTTACGTGAAACCCTGATGATTAAGGTCAAAGAAATTTATAAACTTGAGAAATCCCTTGGTAATATATCAATGACAAACAATAACAAAGGCATGGAAAATAATAATAAAACTATCAGGACAGAAAGACAAGTGCAAAGAGCAACTTTACCATCTTTTATAGTAATCTGACTACCAGCTGTATAAATTTTCTTAGGAACAGCCCAATCAACAGCAATGGGCCTTTTGCCAAAACTTTTTCCATTAAGCTTCTGGATAGCCTGGAAAAGGGATCACAGAAGGTTAAAAGAATTGCAAGAAAGTGAGAAAATGAAAACCTCATGCTTTTACCAACACTTGGTGCAACTTATGCATCTTATCCATACATTTTCTGCATCCTGCTTGCATGTGAATTTGACAAAAGCAAATCCCTTCGATAGCCTACAGAAGTATTAAACAGTTATAACTTAATATGGCATGTAGTCAAAAAAGCATAACATAGGAGATAATGATGTACCCTGAATCAGGTTTTTTGGGAATAAACACGTCCCATACAAAGCCTGCTGTTGAAAACATTTCTCTGATCTCATTAACATTCGCCTGCATTTGTGTTTCATAAGTTAGTACCTGAGTTAAGATATACCCATATACGTAAACAGTTAATACAATAACTGAGCTAGAATTTTATTAACCTGGAAAGGAAGATTCCTTATTATAAGCTTCCATTTTTGTACCTTGGAACCCTGGAATCAGTTACAAAAATATTAGGCGATTACAGATTTGAAAATGAATGCTAGATAAATGAGTTATGGTAACAAGTTGGGGCTCAGCAATTAATGATTCCTGATATGTTTCTAGATCCAGTGCTGTACATATTCAGATCATAAAATTAAGCATTTATGCTCCATACTTGATTCACATAAAAGCGAGACAAAATTGCAAAGTGACAAAGCAAAATTCCATAATCTGCTTTAGTTCCATGGAAAAAAATCTGTCATGCAGTTCACTTGAACATCTAAGTCACAATCTAAATAAACTCATCGTGTTTCAAAGAAAATTTATGCACTGAGAAATTTGAGTTTCACTGGAACTTCTAAAAGTTTATGAAATGCTGAAAACTTGAAAGGAGCTTACTTCTCCACCAAACTGGCGTGCCCAAACCGTGCCCCCCTTTAAAGTTTTCTGATGTAACTTTGCAACACAAGCCCGGGCCAATTTGACACTAGCATAAGCTATAGATGAGGCACCCAATCTGCATCCATCTTGAAGAAGCCCTGCAATAGACAAAACTAGAAATAAGGTTCTTTGAAGGATAATATGTAGTCACTGTAACCTCTTATTCTCTTAAAGTGCTATTTAAACTGAATAATTATATGGTTAGCAGTTTAAACGGAATAATATTTGTTTAAACTAGCAAACTCGAAACAAATAATATTATACATATATATTGTGCTTCAAGACATAAATCAAGGAACAGAAATCGATTAGGTGAATAATGTTCAACCCATGACTACTACATCATATTCGTACGTTTAATGCTATTCAAGCAATCTCCACATGCTAAAATAGATGCCAACTGAAATTCAGGCTTACTGCCTTCCATCACTTATGTTCATTTAATTTTATTGTGCAATGCATAACATGCAATGTCCATCCATTTATCCAAAGAGATAAGTCTTGCTCAAACAGAATACATTGTAGAATTTATCTAATTAAACAAAGGACTGTTGTGGATCATAACAAAAAAAAATTGAGGCATGTCCGTTACCATGATGTGCAATCTCGTCTTTGGGAAGAGGGTAAGTTATGGAAGACACTGGCCCACACTCCCTGGCAAGACGATGAACATCCTCTGCCATATCATCATTGAGAATTCCACCAATTACAACTGTCCTAGCAACCCTGTTTATGATATCAGTAACCCAAAAGGCAATGAAGGATAAGAAACCATAAACACGTATATATGATGGCAACAAACTTCAAACTGTTTAATGAAGTCCACTGCCCAAGGATGGGGGCAGTTCTATCAGCCAAATAGAGTGAATATTGGATGCAAGGTTCAATGATCTATAATCTGAAGCAATACTTCAACTGAACATTGGAACATAGAAAGGAAGTTAATATGCTTAAGGCAATATGCCAATCAATTTCATCATTTGCTCTAGAGATCACCTCTCTTGTTCAGAAAACCAAGAATGTGATAAATAAATAAAACTAACATATTGGAGGTTGAGATCAAGTTTACAGACATTATATGCAACATCAATTCTTTAAGATTACACATAATGGCAATATAAACTTTAAAAAGAGACACTTTGTTCTACTCTAGCTGCATCAAAAAGCCATTTGGATTGTGCTTGTATAACTGAAAATGAACAGGGTGAAAAAGCGGTAATTGCACAGACCCCACTCTCCCATATTCAAGTCTCTAGAGACCTTCCAACCTGATTATGCTCAAGGAATAACTCAATTTAATACAACATTGCACATTTACAGTAAAAAAGTTGCAGAAGATCTAAAATGTATGTCGGTGGAGAGGTAGAGTGATGTTACAAACAAAACTCATACGAGTACAAGACTCGGATAAATGAGATTCAAGAGGCAAGCATTTAAAACTTTATGCAACTTAAAAAACGAACATACACAATCACATATACTATCTACTTCACTAGAGGGAAATGAGGTAATGTTACAGCCACTTAGTTGCTCAAATTTCAGAATTTGTAACTACCCACTTTTACATGTAATTCGTGATAAACGCTCCTTGTCGCTTATGCTTGTATCCAAAGCATACATGGTCAAAGTGTATATTAGACTCACGCATGCCTCAAGATGAAATCCAACAAATAAAATGACATAAAAAAATACCTCTGCTTTTTTGATGAAACACCCTCTACACGTTCGGTCTTTAAGGGGGTCGCTGCTTTCTTCGACTTAACAATTTTGCCTGAATATTTGGGGGGAGGGGGGATCAGTAATGATTCCAATGGTATTAATTCAATAATGTTTTGATTGCTGCAACCTTTTTCTTGAGAATCAGAAGGCAGATTTTTGATAGGTGAAATGTCCTCTACACGTTCGGTCTTTAAGGGGGTCACTGCTTTCTTCAGCTTAACAACTTTGCCTGGATATTGGGGGATGGGATGTCACTTTATTGATAATAGAAGATTCAATCTTACTAATACAATAATGTTTGATTGATATAACCTTTTTCTTGAGAATCAGGAGCCAGCTTATGCTTTACTATTGGCGTCAACAAATCATCTTTGTCATCCTTTGTCTTGGTAACATCCTCAGAGTGGAACACTGAATCATCCTTACCATCCTTTGTCTTGATAATGTCATCAGTGATAAGAGTTTTATCATCCTCACCGTCCTTTGCCTTGATGGTATCATTAGATGGAACCACTGAAGTTTCCCATTCACAGAAAATCAAGAGATCAAAAAAGCAGATATATGCAAGATTGTGCAGAAAATTGAAGACAACGTTGGAAAAGACACAAGAGTCTAAAGCTAATGATCTATAATGTGAGCTATACAAACCTTCATTTCCTTTAGATCGCCGCTGCTCAAGAGGAGCCCTATGCGTTGCATGTTTAACTCCAATGGTTCGACCTCCAACGGAGGAACCATTTTTCAGCTCAATTGCACGGTTAGCGTCTTCAGTCACAGCACTGTTATTGCAAATTGTAAATAAAAAGGAAAAATAAAAAGCCTGAGTACAAATATATGACTTGGAAGGGATAAACAAAACATTAATCACTTGTTCAATTAATTTAGCTTGGCAACGTTAAATTTTTGTGGTGGGGAATGCAAACATTGGTGCAAGATAAAAAAAATGTGCCAAAGAGAGAACTACACATAGCTGGAAAGAAACCCAACAAATAACTATCTTTGTTTCAATTTTTTTGAGCATGTCCAAATTGGAATACAGGGAGCACATATACTTTAGAAATTAGAACAAAGAGAGTATATATCCATTAGTTTGATATCCCCTGCTGCTTATTAAGATCTTCAAATGTGTTTTTCATTTAGTAGAATATGTTCATATGGAGCACATGAAGGCCTTAGACATACCCTTGATAGGTGTTCTTGGAGATGAAGGACTAGGGTAGCAGACTAGGTGTGGGGACCTGTAGCTAGCATGGATGGACAGAAGGAAGGTGGAGAGATTGAGGGTGGGGGACTAAAGAGCTGGCAGTTTATGCCACCAGAGTCCTATGCTGGAGAGAGGATTAAAGCAATGTGTGTTTTGGCCTTACCTTTTCTATGTCTTCATTGTACCTTCTTATAACTTTCTTACTCATTATTCTCATTCTATTACGTGCTAGTCATTGTTCCCTCTACCTTTTTGCTCACATCCTTGCACAATCCAAGGGTCTCCACGGAAACATCCGCTCTACTCTTCGGGGTAGAGGACAGGTCCCGTACATCCCACCCCTACTTTTGAGTGGAATATAGTGGGTCGATTTGGTTTAAAGCACATGAATCAAGTAAAAGGTGATGTGAAGGCAGGGGAAGTCAGGAAATTGCATGCTTAGATACATTCACAGACATGACAATTACTTGAACTATGTTATCGTCCCACAGATTATGGACATATAATTAGAATATACCAATCCTTTTACATTAGGCCAACTTGCAAGCTGCATTATTTTGGACCTACAAATGACTAGATAATAGATGAAATAGCCAGTTAACAAGAGTTTTCACCAGCTAAAGCATGTAAGCAATGCAAATGCATCCCTGTAAAAGTGGCATGTCAAGTTGTCAACATTGGTAAACCGCAGAATGATTAGGTGAAGAAAAAACAATTAAATAAGCATAAAAAAACAGTGATATGACGACTGTACAATAGGTGCATATTTTTTAGCTTATATTGAGTAGTGTAGGCAAAGATAACTATAAGAAAGATTGAGAAAAAACAGTATCTCCCTTTCAGACTTACAATTGAACAAAACCAAAGCCACGGTGTTCAGTCGACCCTGTAAAACAATGTTCAGAGAATATGAACTTGTTAGTTTCAAATAACTGCAACAAGCTTCTGAGTTTTGGTAATGATTGTTAGAGAAATAAGACCGATCATCCATTTAATAATACAATCACCCATTTAAAAAATTAAGGCCTGCATCTCAATTTTTTGTTGCACCTGGTACCTTCCAATTGTAAACTGAAATGGGCTCATTTTCAAATTAAATACCAATATTATTCCATTCCCTTTGTTCATAAAAATCATAAGAATTTCCATTTTAGGGTGTCTTCTATATCAATCTCAATGTTCCTTCTTTTGTCAGGTTTCCTGAAACTAGTTTTTCCAAATTATCATAATTGAGCACCATTTAGTCTGTTGATGTCAGTCTCCAATTTCAGGCCGGTTGTCAAACATCTTTTATTGCAGAATGCATGGAGTCAAACATTAGAATTTTATTGAACCAACAAAAAGTAACTTGTAGTTAGCAATTTTCTTGGAAGTTCTAAGCTCCAAATCAGTTTTCAGCATCCAAAATCTAGGTGTAACTAGTCTTCTGAAATCAAGGATTTAAGAAGTTCAACAATCAAAATTGTTCAACTTTATCAATCAAAATCCTTTTCACTTCATTCTATCGTTTCCTTCAGCTTTTCTATTGCATTAACATCAAATAGAACACAAAAACATAAACAATGCAACCAACAACACCTGTTCATCCAGAAGCTTACCTTTCTGTGTAACCATAAAACACCGCCTAATTGGTCCAACATCACTGAATGTTTCTTCCAGCTGAAATTTTAGGTCACTTGTACTTTTAGTTTAGCAGTGATTTCAATCTAAACAATCAAAAGTTTAACACAAGTGCGCATAGCTATATGTACAGAAAAGCTTGCCTGAGAGTTGGAGAAAGTGTAGGGCATATTGTTAACGAAGACGGTGGCCGTGCTGTGCTGACTACCACCACCGGCATCTTGCTTCATCTTCCTATTCTTCCCCATCCTTTCCCTTCCGAATTGAACCTAAAAACTCGCAGCTCCTGTTCGCGGCGGGGTTTTGGCGTCGGGGTTTTAAGGAGTCGGCCATTTGATATTTTCCCTGCTTTAACCTTAAATTTAATTTTCATTTTGAACCCTGTAACTTTTATTTTGCTCAATAATTCCCCTTCCCTTTTTAATCAATGCCACTTTATAAATAAAAACCAAAGGAAAAAACAATTGTTTATGCCACACATATTGAATAGGGCTATAAACGAACCAAATATTCAGCAACTCGTTTGTGAACCGTTTAATAAAAAGTTCATTTATGTTCGTTTATTTAATAAATTAACAAACATGAACATATTTTTTCTTTGTTTAGTTAAACTAACGAATATGAACAATGGTTCGATCATTTATGTTTGTGAGCATTCGTTTATTTATGTTTGTTTTACGCTTGTTTGTATATACTATAAGGGTACCCACGCAATGCAACGAAATACATATTGGTTTTAATGTTTCATTTTATTTTTTATCCCAGTTGATGTTATAGTATGGTCTTATACGATTTTGAAAAAACGATGATGTTTTTTTTTTAATAAAATATAAATTTGAAGATAACATAAAGATTTGTCAAAAATATATCGATATCGGTATCAAGTTAACTATTTAAAATTCATATTTTTGTATAATTTTTTAATTCAATTTTTTTATTATAATTTAATTTAGGTTCAATAACAAAGTCATTTATATTTGGTTTAATAATATAATTTGTTATAACTCGATAATTATCCTAATCATATTTTAGATTTTTTATATTTTAAAATAAAATGTTTATCCTTTATTTGATTATGTTTATTCATAGTTAGTTATACGAATTTAAACATGGAGCTTTAATAAGTTGTACTTATTCATAATTACTTGTAATTTTGAATTTTAAGTAATATGCATCAATATGCAGTACTTCATGCATAAAATGGTTTTTAAGAGTTTTTTTGTCAAATGTTTTATAATATAGTATAGATAAATAGATTTATGTATCGTGACATTAATATGTAAAATCATTAATCAAATTCAATTTCTATAATCCATTTTTGTATCTCTCTTAAGTTTAACGGAATTTTCATTTTGTTGTGCTATTTTTGAGGAACGTAATGAAGAGCGACAGTGGTTGCTTTTTGTTCATTTACTTGTGTTCGTTTGTTTAGCATCTTAACAAATGAATATAAACCAGCATGAACAAGTACATTTTCTTCATGAACGAACATGAACACAAAAATTTATGTTCGTATTATTGATTCGTTCGGTTTGTTTACAACCTGATAGTAAGGTGTTATTCGATTGTTTTTTTCATTAACATGTCTGTACAAATTAAGCTGTTGTATGGTTTATATTCAGAGTTTTGAGGTCATATCTAGTATTCAGCGTTTTCTAAACAACTTGAACAACAACAAAAAATACAATTTTAACCTGTCTAGATTAAGCATATGGTTGTAACGAACCAAACAAACATGAACGAAGCCTTGTTCATGTGCGTTCATTTAACTAAAACAAACAAACTGGCGATCATTAACAGCAAACGAACAAAAAATAGTGTTCATGTTCGTTTATTTTGAAAATGTGTGTATTAATATTCGTTGGTTAAAATGTTAAATGAACGTAAACAAATAGCTTAAAATAACTCCTGGTATCGGTGGAGATGAGTAAAACCATCAATTTTAATTTATTATTTTTAAATGTTAACTGTTTATTATATTATAGTAATTATAAATATAATTATTTTAATTGCTAATTTATTATCATCGATAAAACAAACATAAATGAACGATGAGACTTTTGTTCTTGTTCATTCGTTTAACTAAATAAACAAACAAAAAATTTGTTCATGTTCGTTCGTTTATTAAATAAACGAACTTCTCACCAAATAGTTCGTTAAATGTTTGGTTCGTTTACAGCCCTAATTAAGTATAGGGGTGAACACGAGTTGGGTTGGTTGATTTATAGGTGTTTAAATAACTCAATCAGATGTTTGTGGTTTGAAAATTTTCAATCCAATCCAACCGAACCCAAAACCGTGCAGGTTGAGTTGGCTGATTTATAGATGTTTAAATAACTCGATTGAATGTTTGTGGTTTCAAAATTTTCAATCCAACCCAACCCAAAACCGTACAGATTGAGTTGGATTGGGTTATGTTGATTAGATTCAGGATACAAGATATTCATGTACTTGTTATTTATCAACTAAAACACACACACACACACACATGGTATCTTTCATTTACATATTGTTAGTTTTTATTATTAAGTCGTTTTCCGCGATTGTATACCCATAATTTTCTTGTTTTTCTCATATGGATAATCAGATATTTTAAGAAATTTTAACAAAGTTTTCAAGACTTTTGACCTTTTAAGGGCGTGCGGCTTGTTCAGGTTGGATTGACTGATTTAAATGCATTTGAACAACTCATCTAATGACTGTGATTTAAAAATTTCAACCTAATCCACACAAACAAAAGTTAAACCTAATCCAACCCGATGCTTACAGTTTGGACCGTTCAGTTTTTTGTGCACCCCTAATTAAGCATCGATTAAAATAACTATTTAACCAATAGATGTGCAAAACAGTTCCCACCTCAAATCCACAAATTCATTTTAAACGAAGAACATTGGAAATTACATGACCAAATGCACAGAGAACAATTTGCGGAAAATAACAGTGTACATAATATATAATGTATACATTTACAATAATTTATATAAATCAATTGTAAAAGGTAAAAATGACGACCATATCTACCAGTTCCTTTCTACATGCACCAAACTAAGAGCAACCCCAATGGTCGGTTCACGTATGAGATGGAAAGTCCATAGACCACATTTGAAAGTCCATACCATTGAGGAAAAAAGGTTTATGTACCACGCACGAGGAAACGGTTCTTGTGCGAGTACCGCTTCTCTCATTGGATTAATGGGGTCCACTTGTTAAAATAATAATAAAAACGTTAGAAATTTATATATATTTTTTACTTATTAAATTAACTGATCTTAATGAAAAAAACAGTTAAAACTATAAAAAAAAATTGTATTTGATTCCCTAGTTATTTTTACCTTATTAATTATTGTAATTTTTAAATTTTATTGTTACTTAAGCTTATTGTAATTTTAATTATTCACAATTTTAAATTATTGTTATTTTAACTTATAAAAATATTTAAATGTTATTTTTAAATTATAATAAGTATTTTTTACTTGTTATTATTCTATTATTGTAATTTTTTATTATATAAACCATGAACTGATCTATAATTGAGAATGAAAGGTTTATGAAATGTGTGAGAGAGAATAAAAACTGATGTGACAAAATTACGAACCTCTAAAGAGGTTCATGACTGTAGATGCTTTAAGGAAGCAACACGACAAGTTTACACAATTATATATATATATATATATATATATATATGATATATTATATTAAAAGGTAATGTTTTCTTCATCTTTATCTTTAACATATCATATACTCTTATGATCGTCATCTTTGAACACTTTTTTTTCTATAATGTTATTTAATTCAACCTTATTTGAGGTTGTTTTCAATAGGGGTGTTCGCGGTCTGGTTTGGACGGTTTAACGCCTTAGACCACAAACCAAACTGTAATGGCGGTTTATAAAATTTTCAAACCGAGCGGTTTGACATCAAGTGTCCAGACCGATCAAACAAGACCATAAAATGGCGGTCTGGTCTGACCGGTTTAGACGGTTTGGGTCTTTAATGGACTTTAAATATCAAACTTAAAAAAACATATATAATTTATAACTTTAGATTAAATATCCATTTTGATTATGTTAGATGCTAGATTTTATGTTGGGTTTAGGGATATATTTGAGCTATATCCCATAAGTTAAAAAATTTGGACTTGCTAATACTAAAATAAATAATTAAATAATATATATATATTTGGCGGTCGGTTTGATCCAAACCGCCCAAAAAAGGTTATGGACCGCAAACCGAACCAGACCGTCCGGTTTTGCTATTTTCCAAACCAAACCAAACCGCTAGACTGCTCAAACCGCCAAAAACGGTCTGGTTTGACTTGGTTCGACCGGTTTGAGCGGTCCAACAGTTTTTTTGAACATCCCTAGTTTTCAAGCATGTCGTTGATTTCTCAATTCATCATAAAACAAGGATACATATTTCGTGTGAATAAGAAGTATTATGGAAAAGGAAGAAATGTGAGATTTTAAAATTAGTATAGAGAGAGGGGCGTGTGCGGAGGAAGTGTGTCAAGGAACCTGATTTATCACGTATAGATGTACAGTAAATATTAGAAGTGTACTCGCATAATGCAACATGATATATTTTGATTATCAAGTCGAGAAGTCGAACTGTAAATTATGTTTCATATTTATTCTATTCGTTGCCTGTTTAGAAATTTTTTATGGATTTGCAGTTTTAAGAGAGTGGGAGAGCTTTCAATTGGTTATCAACTATACAAAACTTTGAAAATCAGTATAATCCATATCATATTATTATAATTTTAATTTTATCAGAAAAAAATAATAAACATGTCAACAAAATTTAAAAAACAACTAGAAAAAACATATGCTTTTATAGGATTTGACCATTTGGGTTTCATCTTTTCCACTTTATGAGCTAATGGGTCGTTTACAAAACACTTATCCGATAAATGCTTATTGGTAAAATTTAACACCATCACTTTTTTACCCGGTAAGATTTTATTCTACCAAAACGGCATTGGATATAACAATTTACCTGGTAAGTGCTAACCGTGGTAAGAGTTATCGTCTCCACTTACCGGATAAGACTATTGGTCCTTGGCTCGCTCTTACTGGGTAAAGTTCTTGGTCCTTGCCATATTTTATTCCGTAAGGTAATGTGACTTGGTAAGCACTTACTCGGGTAAACGTTTGTAAACAACCCCTAAATGTGAGTTGGATCGCTTAGCCATGCTTCATAATTGGAAAAAACGAACACAGTAAAAATACATGCCACTCGGCCAAAGGAAGATGATGAAGGCTTTGTAATACCCTTTCAATTGACATAGACCCAAGTAATATAGTAAAATGAAATTATTTGGAGTTTTGAGAAAATAAATAAATCCATGGAAAAACTATGAATAAAATATCGATAAAAAATTGATTACCGAGTACTGACATTCCCAACCGGCCTGACACATAACTGCCTCCAAAGATATAAATGTGAGGGAGACATTTTTTTGGTTCCTTTAGCGGCTAAGGTTAGCAGACCAGCCTATGATTGAATCCATGACATGTCTTGTATATGAGCAAAGTCATCCCACCTGTTTGTCAACTAAGCTACAAACCAAAGGTTAAAGCATTAATCAGACTTAAAATCTAAAATGAGGTTTACATAGAAAAACAAATCTAGTATTTTACCTGAAAATAAAACATCAATATGCACAACAAATTAAAATGAATAAAACACTTATGTTTTATATAACTTGTTTGATTAAGATATTAATTATACAAATACATTTTTTAAACTAGAAGAGTACTCGTACAATGCAGCGAGATATATCTAGATTTTAATTTTTCATTTAATTCATTTCTCTGTCGATATAATATGGTTTTACGTGATTTTAGGAAATGATAATATGTTTATTTTTAAACAAATTATAAAATTGAAAAAATATATATATATATTGATATTAATGTTAAATTAACTATTTAAAAGTTCTCGTTTTCTGTGTAATTTTTTTAATTCAATTTTTTATTATAAATTTAATTTAGATTTAATAACAAAGTAATTTATTTTTGTTTAATAATATAATTTTTATAAAGATGATAATTAAGTATATAGTTAAAACTCAATGATTATTCTAATTATATTTGAATTTTTTATATTGAAAATGAGATGCTTATCCTGTATTTGATTATGTTTATCTAAAGTTAGTTACACGAATTCAAAAATAAAGATTTAATAAGTTGTACTTACGCACAGTTTACTTGTACTATTGAATTTTAAGTAATATCAATAATATATTATAAAACATTTGACAAAAACTCTTAAAAACCACTTTTTATGCGTAAAATACTGTTTATTAATGCATATTACTTACAACTCAAGATTACAAGTAGATTGTGCGTAAGTACAAGTTATTAAAGATTCATATATGAATTTGTGCAACTAACTGCAGATAAACATAATCAAATACATGATAAACATCTCATTTTAAATATAAAAAAATCTAAAATATAATTAAGATAATCATTGAGTTATAACAGGATACTTAATTATTATTTTTTATAAAATGTTATATTATTAAACAAAAAATAAATTATTTCATTATTAAACTTAAATTAAATTATAATAAAAAAATAAATTAAAGAAATTACATAAAAAATGAGAACTTTTAAATAGTTGATTTAATATTAACATTGATATATATTTTTTTCTTTAAATTTTTATGATAGCTTCAAATTTATATTTTATTAAAAAATAAAATCATTAATGTTTTTTTAAAAACACAAAATCTGTATTATAACATCGATAGAGACAAATAATAAAATAAAATATTAAAATCGAGATAGGTCTCGTGGCATCGTGCGAGTACTCTTCTAGTACATTAATAAACAATATTTCATGCATAAAAAAATATTTTTAAAAGTTTTTGTCAAATATTTTATAATATTTTTTTAAAATGATGATTTTCAAAAGCAATTTCCTAAAAATATATATTTATTTTTATGTAAAATTTAAATTGCTTAAAAAAAAAAGAAAAAGAAAATGTTGATGTTTGGTGAGGAACAAGTAGGATGGAGAAATAGAAGGAGTTTGGATTCGAAAAGGCCACAAACACAAACCGTTTGCTTGCGTTTGCTTCTTTTCTTTCTCCCCTTGGTCAAACTCAAAGTGGGAAGACGGGAAGCGAAGCGAAGTGGGAGATCTTTTGGCGCCCTTTCCTTTAACTTTCGCCCATTTTCGCCTTCCAAGATTCTCATACCTTTGTCTCTCTTACGCCACTACGCAATTTCATCCACCACAATGGCATCCGGGCAACACTTATCTGCAATTAAGGTATGTGATTTCACCAAATTTTGAATTTATTTGAGCTATTAACTTGATTTTCCTACCAATTTGAGTCAATTTTGTGTCGTTATTAGGGTGCGAAAGTGCTTATGGTTGGTGCTGGTGGTATCGGCTGCGAACTTCTCAAAACCCTAGCTCTATCAGGTTTTCATGACATTCATATCGTAAGTCAACCATGAGTCTTTTTTTTTATATTATTATTATATTGTTCAAGAGTAATTAGTGCTTAGTGTTTACTCACTGTTTGGTTTACAACTTTTAGGGTTTAGTTTCTTGGTTGATTTTTGGTGAAATGGTCCTCTACACTTTCAATCGTATTCAATTACATAATTTAACCACATTTTTTTTTATCAATCACATACTTATCTCCTCATAATCGTTCGAGCACGTCATTTCTGTCTTGTTTTAATCAAGTCAAGGAACATAAATCGTCTAAATGGTTAACATCAAATTGTTATTCCCCTTGTCTCTTGTCCTAAAACTAACCATTTATGTCCACTAATTTTGTTTCCTTTGGATGAAAATAATGTAATTGGTATAATTTTGACTCCGAGAATAGAACTATGTCTTTGATATTTGTTGTTGTTGTAGTATGTGTTGAAAAAAGCATGATTCAAGTATTTTGCCTGTGTGAGAATCAGGGACATGTTGGCTTTATTAAATGTGCATAGATAAACCCAATTGCAATAAAACAGTATGGAAATTAGTTAGAGCAACATACAATGGATTTTTAGGTCCACATTTTTATTCTTATCATAGACTTCCAAGGTGTTGACCAAGGTATTTATGAAACCAAGGTTGAAGATGCAGTTTGAAAAGTTGGCTCCTCTTTGTTTTAAATATATTCACGCTTTTGTTTTCTAACCACTTCTAATTTTTGGTGATTCATCTATTGTTAAGAGTTAGACCTCAAGCCTTAATACCTGTTATTTGCATATATGACCTTAATACCTATTGGGGAATGTATCTGAAGGGTATCCATGCAGCTACACTCATTATGCTTTCTATTGTTTTTTGGTTTTGATGTTTTTATTCTTAATATTTGTCACCGTTAGGCTAACATTTTTTTTCTTAAAAATTACAAATATGTGGTGGAAATACAAAGTGGTCTGAGTAGAGAGATGGCTACTCCATGCATCCTTCTCACTCTCATGCATGACGGTACACAAAGATTCTCATTAGGTTGGTAGTTGAATATAGTTTGATCAGAGCATGAATAGAGCAACCAATCTAAGGTAGGTTGGTCATTTAGAGGGGGGGACTTATATCTTGTTTCCATATAGTCTAGATCTGTTTAGTTATATTTCTACATTTTGATGGCATAAAGTTGCCTAAAGAAACCACTGGTCCCAAAAACAAGCTCAAGTGATTGCTCTTAATTGTATAAAATAGATATGGCTTCACGCTACTGTTAGTTATTTCTCTCTACAAAACTTCTTCTGATTCTTCTGAAGATTCAGAGAAGTCTTCCAATGTTGGTGACTAAATGGATTGCTTTCATAATGATATCTTCCATTCACCCACTAGGGTGTGGTATCCTGGGCCCTCTGGAAAAATGATAACGGGACTAATAACTGAATGGGTTGCTTTGAAGAGGGGGATGGGAAGGGTCCATACTCTCTTGCTGCTCAGTGCCACCTCTGTGGGTCGAGGGATCCTTCTCCTTCCCCCTCTTCAGACTTCAATTTGTATTTTTTCATAGAAAAATCTCTGGTCAATGATAGAACAAGATCCATTTTGCATCATATCTAAGGGATTCCTTGGTTTGGGTCGAAGAAGTAATGCCACTTGATCTTTATCAAACTGACTGCATTTTCGTGAGGATCCCATCAGAGTGCTTTTTGCTTTTAATAGGCTGCCACGTATCACTGGAACTATATTCCTGGACATAAATGCAACATTGTATTGCACATAGGCTAGAGCTTTCATCAGCCATACAATGCAAAGTAGGTGATTGACTAGCAAAATTTAGAAATTAGAAGATGTCAAGTTGTTCTTGCAAAGGGATTGGCTTACTTAGCTGAAGTGAGGCTCAAGATAAATAAAACGACCTAGAAGGGAGGTCTTAGTGCTACTGTGCTTGGCATGTGAACATTAGGGGATGTGATATGCATAAAGGAAAATAAGGTTGTAAGGCTGAATTTAGGTTATATATATGTGTGTGTGCGTTCTTATGTAAAATGATTTGATGAGATATAACAAGGTTATAAATGGCATGAGGTGTGGAATGGCAGTGAAGTCATGCCTCGAGTCTTAGGAGACGCAACGTTCTTCAAGGCATGGCTTAAGGCGGCAACTGTGTATATGTATATATAATATATGCATATATGTTATTACTCAGTGATATTGAACAATTTAAATTCATATAAAAAGAAGAAAATTAATATGATATATAGTGCTTACAGAAAGTGTAAGACTTGAAGTTAATTTTTTTAGAAGTCAAAAAATTCAAAAGTTAATTAAAACAACGCTGCTTGGCGGCACCACAACAGCTTTTCACCTTAAACAGCCACTATGGTGGTTAACAGGACGTGGGAGATGTGCCTTGCAGCCATGACGCCTCTTTTGGAACATAGGATATACCACAAGGGCCAACAATTAAGACAGTTCTTTGTATTATTCCACTCCCATGCTTTAATGTCATATGCCTTTTCTGTAATTTTTTTTAAAGTATATAATATTTATATACGGCAAATGCAACAAATAAACTCACACACCCTCCTCACCTATGGTGAGGTTTGAACCCTTGACCTCCTAGAAGGCCAAGGGCCCTTTGGTGCTGTTTTGTAAATTGTTGGTTATTATTTGTAATTTGACCTTGATCTAGGGTTTGCTCCCAGCACTTGCTTTCTTTTACAAATATTTTAGCAATAAATGTTCACATTGCTATGCAGGGTTGGAAAGATGTGCTGTTAGTTTTGAGTAATAAGATGTTAGTGAAGACAACTTGTAGGGCATTTAAGTATGGAATAGTAAAATTTCATTGGCCTAAATAAATTGAGATAACCAGGTGTGATCCATATAAGCGTTGATTTCTCTGTGCTTCCTAAATTCTTTTTCTTATAACCCGGATCATTCAAGTGGTGTTTGGCAAGCTCTTTCAGCTCTGAGCTTACATCCTGCACCTGCCGTCTTATCCCTGTAATGCTTATAGTACTTTCAATATTTTGTAATCCCCCTTGTTGGTTATTGAGCAATGTGTATCGATAAAGCTGGATTTGTATGATATTAGTTGATATGTGGGTTGGGTTATCTCTATGAAACATTTTTTCTCTCATTAGTCTGGACGAAAGCTCATAAATTTGATTACTTTGCCGGGGAAGTCTTTTGGTAATGGTAATGTTCTCTTGTGACGTGGGCATTGTGGGTCTGAACCATGGAAGAAGCTGCTTTGGAAGTGGAGGTATTGCCAACTAAGATAGGTCCTGCACATGTCTCTTCAGTAGCAGGAGCCTATTTCAGTAGATCTTAAAGTTGTAATTGTGTTACATGCAGAGTCATGTTAGACTACTGTACTCTTGGTGTCGATTGTATGGAAGTTTTTTGTTTCTCATGCATTTGATATGATGCTGTTAAGGTTTTAACCTCTCATTTTGTCAACTGGTGTATTTAATTGCAGATTGACATGGACACAATTGAAGTTAGCAACCTAAATAGGCAATTCTTATTTCGTCAATCACATGTTGGTCAATCAAAGGCAAAAGTGAGTAGATACTGTTTATTTCTCATTGCTGGTTGATTACTTGTTTTTTAATATATTCTTTATGTTTTCAGGTTGCTCGTGAGGCTGTGCTAAGATTTAGGCCTCAGATTAGCATTACACCTTACCATGCTAATGTCAAAGATTCTGATTTCAATGTTGACTTTTTCAAACAATTCAGTGTCGTTCTGAATGGGCTTGACAACTTGGATGCTAGGCGGCATGTGAACCGCCTCTGCTTGGCAGCTGATGTTCCCTTGGTGGAAAGTGGTACTACTGGCTTTTTGGGGCAGGTAATTGCTTGTAAGCTTTGTCTTCAATTTTTGAAACTTCAAAGCTTTGACTTACTGCCGAGATTGCCTCAAGTTCAGTCAGTTCTCTCTTTTATGTGTCAATGGCTCTTTTGTTATGTCCCATTTCATTACGATTTCTCACCTGACTTCCTACCAGACTTGCTTGTTTGATCATTGCATCTTTTCCCTCTCTCTGTATATGGGTTGTGTTTATTATTCTTGTGTGGCTTACATTTTGTATTTGTGTAGGAAAGTTGCATGCAAGAGGGCTTGTTCACGTCTTCACATTAAATTCTTTATAATTCACAGGAACCTTTTTGTCAGGAAATTTGACGAAGAAAATGAACCAGATTGATTAATCTTGGTCAACACTTCTTACACAATCAAACAACTCCTTGCATTGTTTATGCCAAGAATATGCATACAATGCTACATTGATATTTTGTTACACATACAGCGACCATGTACTGTTTGAACTCTATATCTTGCTATTAGAAGATACTTAGCTGAGATTAAAGTGATTTGCTTACATCTACACTTGAAGAATTTACGTTGTTAATTAGAACCATTATCATTGAGTTTTGTGAATTGTCTTTGAACACTAGTCTTGGCATGTCAATTCTCATAGCTACAGAGTGGGAAATGAGTTGGTACAGAGGTCTCAACACACAATAAAAAGAGTAGCTTCTGGAAATTAATATTGTGGGGCTAGCTGCTAGCACTTGTTATTTTAGTTGCTTCCGACTCTTCTACTATTTGCAAATTTCGTTTCATATCATGTTACTTCTATAATGCAAGTCTCGCTGGCATCTGAAAACATCATGGTTCTTTCTGTGAAGGCCCCCTGGAACTGACAGCTGGAAAATTGGCTGTCAAGCTATCAAGAAAGCTTCTTCCAAAATCTATATATTTGACAGATTATGACATCATTTAGTGAGATTATGGAGTAGTTTGCTCCGGACTCATGTTACTATGTAGCTGGTGTTATTTTGGTGTTTTATTTCTAAACCCTACTGTGCTTCTTACCTTACATTATGGTTTTAGCAAACTCATAGCTCCTACCTTGAGAAAAAAATGTTATTTTTCTTCTCAAAGTTGTCTTCTAACTCGCGCTTTCAATTTTCTACACTGGAGATGGCTAAACCATATCAAGTGGTGTTCTCTCCATTTCCCTTCAACCCGTGCCACCCTATCTTTCTTCTGCATGCCTCTTTTTTCAGTTCTATGACTTCTATCCCCTGATATTTGGCTACACATCCACATCAACATGTGCATATACTTCACATGGTCACATCCATGCAACCTGTGTACATGCTGACTTTAGTGGCCCAAAATTTGCCTTGTACATCATAGCAGATGAACGAGTATTATAGGATCTACTGTAAACTTCAGTGGGACTCTTCAATCATCTAATACTTCTGCAGCTTGTTTCATCCACCATGCTCTTTGTGCATGGCTAACTTCATAATGCATCTCTTGGTTTTCCACATCAACATGTGCATATACTTCACATGATAACATCCATGCAACCTGTGTACATTGGCCCAAAATTTGCCTTGTACATCATAGCAGATGAAGGAGTATTATAGGATCTACTGTAACTTCAGTGGGACTGTTCGATCATCTAATACTTCTGCAGCTTGTTTCATTCACCGTGCTCTTAGCGCATGGCTAATTTCATCATGAATCTCTTGGTTTTCATGTACCACTATCCCTAAAAGCAAAAAGGTGTCATTCCTAACCGCTTCGTACCTGTAAGTGACAAAGAAGAAACTAGAAAGAGGGTTCTAAATTCTTTTGTGTGTGTTCTCAGTAGCTTATATATGGCATTTCTTTTGAAGTCTGACTTAGTTCAATGTGGGTAAAGTGTTGACGCTGAGGCTGCTTGGAGCTTGGGAAAAATAAGTCTATGACGCTATATCAATCAATATCATATCATCAGTGAAAAGCATACTCCACACATATCATCTTGAATGTACTTCATAGGATTGTCCATAATTAAAACATAAAGACGAGGACTCAATGCTCATTTTTGGTGTAATCCTATAGTAATACCGAAAGCATCTATCTTGCGGTCACATGCTTTCAAGCTTGTTGCTATGCCATCATAAGTTAGTCATGTTCACATGCATTGTAGGTACTTTGTTCTTCTCGAGAGCCGACTACTTCTCTTTCCTTAGCACACGTCTTCTCTAGATCAAGAAAATCATATGTTAAATTCTTTTTACATCCTTTTGTCTCTCCTTGAACTGTGTAACTAGTATGAAGCACTGTAACTAGCTACCATTTTATATTGAAACAGGACCCACCAGAAATACTACAAAGCATTTTTGGAAATTTAATCTTTTACTAATAAGTTTGGGCCATATGCGTTTTACCTTTTGGAATTCTGTGATTATATTGTTGGTTGAGGCATGCTGAGCATCAGTTTTTAGGGATAAAAAGCAATGTGACTTCAAAGTTATTTGGATGAAGATTAAATTTTACTCCTTTGTTTAGCTATATTATTCTTTTTAGCGAGGGGTAATGCATACATAGCATAAATACAACTTTTTTCGTCTGTAAAATTAGAAAAGAGGTTAGGTGGGAAATTTTCTGTATTTTCTTTTGTTGCGACTAGTACGTTTCTTGACTAGGATGTGATGGGAAAATTCTCTTATTGTGTTCTAATTTATTTCAGGTCACTGTGCACATCAAGGGTCGGACGGAATGCTATGAATGCCAACCAAAACCAGCTCCGAAGACTTATCCTGTGTGTACTATTACAAGTACTCCATCCAAGGTAATAATACTACCCTCCTGAATATAGTTTGAAGGCTTGGTTGCACTTACTGGGACATGCATGTAATTTCACAAGTCAGAACCCATCCACTCTGGTGAATGCTATTTGACTTCTAGCCTGCTTTTATATAACGTAATCTATATTATCACGAAACCCTATTTCCTTTTCTATCTGTTATATGGAATTATGGATTATTGTTGTGATGTGTCGCGTTCTTGCAGTTCGTTCACTGTATTGTATGGGCGAAAGATCTGCTTTTCGCAAAGCTCTTTGGAGACAAGAACCAGGATAATGATCTTAACGTGCGTTCTAATGATTCTGCTAGCTCGTCAGATCATTCAGAAGATGTTTTTGAACGCAAAAAGGATGAAGATATTGAACAGTATGGAAAGCGAATTTATGATCATGTCTTTGGTCATAATATCGAAAGTGCTCTGTCCAATGAGGAGACATGGAAAAACCGCAACAAGCCAAGGCCTATATATGTTAGAGATGGCCTTTCTGATGATCTTCTTCAACAGAATGGAAATGTAGACAAAATTCCAGCAACTGATAATTCATCTGCATTGTCTGCAATGGCATATCTGGGTTTAAAAAATCCACAAGATATCTGGAGCCTTAAGGAAAATTCAAGGATTTTCTTTGCAGCACTGAAATTGTTCTTTTCGAAGAGGCAGAAGGTCTGAATCAATTGTTTGGTTCTGAAGCAAGTTCAATAATGTTTTATTTGTTTGATCATTTTCTTTTTCTCTCCTGTAGGAGATTGGAAACTTGAGTTTTGACAAGGATGACCACCTAGCTGTAGAATTTGTTACTGCTGCTGCAAATATCCGAGCAGCTTCTTTTGGGATTCCCTTGCATAGCCTTTTTGAAGCAAAAGGTATTGCTGGCAATATTGTGCATGCAGTTGCAACAACAAATGCTATAATTGCAGGATTGATTGTGATAGAAGCAATCAAGGTGCTGCAAAATGATTCAAAAAGCTGTAGGTGGGCAGTCTTCCTTATTTGCCGTTTAAGTGAAACTTGCTTTCAGTAAAACATTAAAAGCCTTACTGGTCTCTCGCCCTTGACATAACCTTTTTTTGCAGAATGACTTATTGTCTTGAACATCCATCAAGGAAGATGCTTCTTATGCCTGTGGAGCCGTTTGAGCCAAACAAAGCTTGCTATGTATGTTCTGAGGTAAGTTTCAACATTGGCATTTCCAGAGATGGATCTTTAAAAACTTGTGGTGCAGACACTGTTTAATATATATATCATAATCAAATGAGAACCACAAAAAGGTTGAGAACCGCGAAAAACACTAAAATGCACACACATGATTACTAGTTCTCACAGTTCTCAACCTTTTTTTTGTGGTTCTTGGTAGATTAATTCTCTCTCTCTCTCTCTCTATATATATATATATTTCATGGTGTGGGATTATTTACTTTATTAAATTCATGGATCAAAATCTTGCAGTCTATGGCCATGATTGGCAACCATAAGCTAGCTTATTTTTTAGCTTTTTGAATAAAATCTTCCTAAGGGTTTTGTTCCCTTTACAAAAAGAAGCTAGTTTATAAGCTAGCTCTTTAAAAAGCTACTTCAGATGGTGTTTTAATAAGCTCCAGGGGCTTTGTTTTTTTTTTTTCTTCCAATTCTTCCCCTTATGTTTTAGAATCGAGTAATTTTTCAATAGTCTTTTAATATTTTACATTGTCATCTAGCTTATCAACTACCTTCTTTTACCAAACATGACTAGTTTATTAGCTAGTTTATCTTTCAACATGACTAGTTTCGCAGAGTTCTTAACCTATTTCATGGCTTCATAGTTCTTAACCTATTTCTTGTTGGTTCTTCATTTATCTCGTGTATTAAAACTAAATTGATCTAATTTGGTTCAGACACCATTAGTGCTCGAGGTGAATACGCACCGTGCAAAGCTGAGGGATGTGGTGGAGAAAATTGTTACATCGAAGCTTGGCATGAATTTGCCATTAATTACTCATGGGTCTGGCCTTCTATATGAAGTTGGTGATGACTTGGAAGAAGATATGGTTGCTAATTATGCAGCGAACCTTGAGAAGGTATGTATTTTTGGCTTCTCATTCTTTAGCAGATTGTTTGTAATTTATTTATTGTTATATTCATATCCGTAGGTGTTATCTGAGCTTCCATATGCAATCACTGGTGGAACAATGATTCAAATTGAGGATCTCCAACAAGAGCTTGTATGCAATATCAATATCAAACATAGGTTTGTCTGACATGGCTGTTCTAAATTTTGTGCTTGACGGATTTATTGATGTTTATTGCTCTTGATCCACAAGTTTTATTTTAAGTATATGCTCCCTCCATCCCAGAATAATTGTCCATGATGAAAAAGGCCCACAATTTTAGAAATGTGTAATTATTACACACTCTAGTTAACTAAAAGAATTTTACCTAGTAATGAAAATTTCCATCTTATAATTAAAAGGCCCATTTGGCTCGGTGGCACTTGGGTTATCTATAGAGTCCAGCCTCTCATGATGTCAAGGGTTTAAACCTTATCAAATGTGAGGAGTTTGTGTGATTATTGTAGTATATAAATATTATTATACTTAAAAAAATAAGGGTAGAATTACAAAGTATGCACTAACTTCTGAAAACGGACAAATCAAGTTTTTCATCCCTGTGGTTTATTAAAAATTGTGATTTTTGTACCTGTGGTTTAGAAATTACGGTTTTTATCCCTATGGTTTGTAATTCACTGCTATGTTCGTCCTTATGATCTACAAGTGGTTTATAATTCGTTGCTATTTTGGTCCCTTGTACTTAAAGGTAGGAATTAGTCCAGGGGTGAAAATGGCAATAAATTGCAAACCATAGGGACAAAATTGCAATTTCAAAATCATAGGGACGAAAATCGAAATTATTATCAAACCACAGGGACGAATATCGTAATTTACTCTAAACTAAAATAGAAATATGAACACTTATTTTGGGACGAAGAGATAATATTTATATAAAACTCACGCACACTTCTCATCTATGGTGAGGCTTAGGTTGGGTTCTACCGGTAACCTGGGTCCCATTAGGTAAGACTTCTTTATTTTGCGGACATTGAATGGTATTTTGAATCATGTATACATACGTCTCTCAGGGAGGAATTTGACGAAGAGAAGGAACCTGATGGAATGGTTCTTCATGGGTGGACACAAGCTCCAGCAGTAAAAAATAAGGATACCACCACTAATACTACTAGTAGCAACAATGGAGCGAGCACATCATCTACATCCACGTTGGTTCCGAATGCCATGGAAGAAGATGATGAGCTAACGATACTAGAAACAGGAATCGAGACCATAGCTGCAGGAAAGAAAAGAAAGCTGTCTGACGTATCAAATTCTGAAACCCCAGTTCCCGCAGATGAAAAACGGGCTAAGAAGTTAGCTGAACAAGTAGAAGACGAGAGTGATGTGATTGTTATGCTGGATGATGCGAATGATGAGAAGATTTCAAGATAGTTGTCAAGTGGAGTGGATCCAGATTCTAATTCACGGAGACACCCTTTTTTGTTGCGGTTTTAGCTGATGGAGGGCTCAATATTAAAGGGTTTTTCGGTTTTTGGATTGTAACCCGGTTTTTTATTTCTTTTCTTTTGGTAGTTTATGTGGGTTTGAAACTTAGGATTTGGTTTTTGTGTAAGTAGAAGAAGGGATGGTGACAAGAGGGAGTTTTTGTTAAAAAAGGGTGATTAAATCCTGACAGTTGATTAGTGGTGGTAAGACAGGTAACGTAGGGTAGAAATATTATCTTGTCAAAACAAGGCCTTACAATTATATGCATGTACTTTATGACACTGTGTGACAGTTATTAGGCACCATTCCATACCCTTGATCAAATCGAAGGCTGCTTTTCGGTAGTTAGGGGATATTTACCAAACATTTACCTGGTAAACGCTTACTAGTATGAATCTCCGTTGTCTGGTAACATTCTCGATGATGAAAATTGTCGGTAACCACGAGTGACTCCTTTATCGGGATGGGTGGAATTGCTTTGGCATTCTGTCAATCGGTTTATGAAACAACTTGGGTGAAATAGGGTTCTATCGGGAAACTATGGATCTTGCAACTGCTACCCGGATAAGAGTCTTTCTTTCATTTACCTAGTAAAATTCTTGGTTCTTGTCATACCTCTTTGCAAGTAAGATTATCGGGTATTGTGATACTTGCCCGGTAAATGTTTGTTCGGTAAATCTTTTGATGCCATTTTAAAATCATGTTAATAGACCATTTAAACACAAAAACAAATCCATTTGCATGCATCGATGATCAAAATTTAAAATATAGGTCTGATGTTGGTTGTATTTTATCATTATAGTCCTTCCGTTAGTTTTAAAATTGTCTAACCATTACATTTTGTTTAACTATAACATAATTTCATCCTTAATAATACAAGGAGTAACGAATTTCTCCATCTCATAAATAAAATTAGAAGCAGAAGGTAAGCAACTATTATTTTGAAACAAATAAATATGAAAATTCAAACGCTTATTTTGAAACAAGAGAAGTAACATATCTTAGACTTCATGTCCAAAATAGTCACTCTATGCTTTGAGAATATAACACAAGTTTTGCATACATTTCACCGACCCAACCACAAACCCTAGGTTCGTGGAAGATACACTTTTGGTTGATATGTTGGCAGCAATGGCCAAAAAGAAATTTATGAGGTCAGAAGAGAAGAATACATACAGATGAATGCAGTGTTCCTGATTATAAACAGGAATTGATGCTGATGCTGATGATACTTTACACAAGTGTAAGTAAAAAAAGATGAATAAATCTAACTCCATACTATCATTTCACCATCAGCCTCTCTATATTATATATATATATATATATATATATATATTCCTTTTGATGAAGTGAAGCTGAAACTGAAACTGGAAACATGCTGTCCTGTCTTTCTTTTATGTTTCTCCATCTCCATCTCCATTTGACTACAAATATCAATCACCTGACCCTCATCATCTACTACCCAATGGAAAACCAGGAGCATTACAACCATACCAGCACACATAAACAAACAAATTTTCTTTTTTCTTTTTAATGTTTGTTCGTTAAGATGTTAAATTTATCATGACATCATTAGTTAACAATTAAAGGAATGGGAGGTAACAACTAAATTACAAACGGATTACTGAACGTTCTCAAACGTAAATGAACGAAAAATCTTGGTTCGTTATTAAATAAATGAACTTCCCGCTGAACGTCTACACCACTAAGAGCATCCACAATGGTTGGTCTTTTTCATCGGAGCTTTTTCCAAAAAAGTGGGACCCACAAGCCAAAAACAAACTTTCTGAGTGGTTCTAATTGCACAAGCAAAAAATAGGGTTTTTTTGGGGTCAGGAGCCTTTTCACAAGCTTAGGCGGCCAAAATGATGTATTGTGGATGCTCTAAGAGGAACTTGGCAAACATTTTGGGATGAAGCATGAAGGCAACTAGGTTAGTACCATACGATAAGCTATTATCGGGTGTCACTTACTTTCTGAGTGAGCATGGCAAGGACCTAGAATCTTTCCTAGTAAGGGAGAAGACTCTTATCCAATAAGCGTTTACCGAGTAAAAGACGCTTGCCAACAATTCATTTTGATGGCCAAGAATGTTAACTGATAAGGTACATAAGGTTGATACTCTTATCCTGTAAGTGTTTGGTAAACGATCCTTAAGTTGCACTTGTTCTACATTCCTCCATTTCAAGGTCCCATCTTCGTTACTAAGCATAAAACAATGGCCAAAAACCAAAAAGACCTTAAGCACCTGATATTGTATTTATACGAGACTCAAGTGGGGCGGTCATGTCCATGTAAAACGAAACAAATGAAAAAGAGAGCGAATTGTTTAGTTATCAACGCTCTAAAAATGTAAAAACAACAAATATGACACTCCTTAAAACATGATACTTTAAAAATATGCCACTATCATTTCAATTTCCATAAAACACGATACTATGCTTCTTAGGTTACACCATTAACGCACAACACTGCACCTCTCGATCCTAGACATTAGTATCCATATACCAAAGTTTTTTGGTCTCTGTTTTTAATTACAAATCCGGCACTTCTGTCCTACATGTTTTAGGATCAAAACAAATCTGATGCAGAGAAGTTGAAAACCACCACACCCGGTTGGACAAATGCGAACTTTGATTAACCATGTCATATGATATATATAGATCCTAATTATTTTAAAAGAAAGGCTAAATAACTTTATAACATTTATGATGGACAAAATGGGTACCTTTTAAAGTGAAAAAGTTCACTCCTTGCTCCAGAAAAATCTTTTTTTCCTACAACTGTTGTCTGACAAGGATCTGTTCCATTTGCTACCAAACGAGAAGTGTCTCCTTAAAAACGGTTTTCCATGTCCTGTAGAGCACTTCACGCTGGAACTTGAGCTCATCCTGGAGACACTACTCTTAAACACAACAGAATCACCATCCACCACCCTATTCCTTAATTTCTTGCTGATTTTAGCCTTTAAATCCATGTCTGTTGCAAGTGCTTTTTCTGACAACTTGAGAACCTTCTTTTCCCCAAAAGTACAAATGGGGCATGCTGGATCATACTTATGTATCTCAGGGGTCATACTCTCTAAACATTCTGCATGGTAAACATGGCCACAAATCAGAACAGCGACAATAGGGTACCCATTGGCAACTATGCCTTTTTGGCCTCTCCAAGCAGATTTTTCCGTTAAAAGCTTGGAGCAGACACCACAAATCTGCATATCAATGGAAGGAGATGAAGAAACCCTGCCACTTGATCTGCTAATCCTATCACGACTAAAGCTTAGAGAATCGCTATCAAAAGACCATCTATCTCTGTTAGAAGTTGTCGCGAGATCAGGAAAGGCAGGTATAGACCAACCGTCTGAAGATCCACCATGAGAACCCCTGTTTGATTTACTGCTCCACCCAGGGTGCATAAAAGGAGAACCCTCCTCAGATATCGAAAAATTAGGTGACATTATGCCTCGAATTCGGCTATCTGATACTTGACGTAGTAGATGATGTCCTGGGGAACGACGAGGCCACCTTGATGGGGTCAAGCTTGTTAGAGGCAGAAGATGACCTTGGGAAGAAGACAAAGGAGACGCCGAAAAGGATGAAACCGAATGCGTTGGAGTTAAAATTTTGGTTGGACACAGTTCCGAAGCTACCGGAGTTCTCCTTGACTCCTTCCCCTAAACATTGCATAAATAGTAAGGAAGATAATAATTAAACAGCACTAAGAAATTTGCAATTTCCAAAAAAATCCCCAAGCATTCAGTAACTCACCTCAGGAAGATTCTTAGAGTTCGATGGATCTGCAAGGACCAGTAAATGAATGTCATGTACAGCAGAGTATCTAGCTATTGTAAACTTTCCATAAAAAAAAAATAATGACGGTAAAGGAATTTTAATAACGGAAAAGTTTCCATAATCAACAATACTAAAAGAGAAACCAACTTCCCAATACGACTAATACAAGGTAGACAACCATAAACATACAAGTTGAAATAGAGTTGGCAAATTAAATAAAGGCAATGCCAGAGGTAAGAGAATGTCATTGTGAAATGGATAACAGTAATCAATATAGTTGCTGTATTTTTATCATGTAACCATTCAATATACTTGACATACGAAAATTAGCAAATGCACAACCACTAGGCTTTCAAGATCAACTACCTATGCCATCTATCTTCTACAAGTAGACAAAGACAAAGAATAAAGAAAAAATGCTCATAATAGAATAGGAAATGAAAGCAAGAAATCAAAATTATGAGCTGCTGCTCCTATGTGAATTAATTTGTATGGATATCTTTCTTATGGGAGAAGTTTAAGTTTGAACTTATATTATACACTAGATTAACCATATATAGAGTGAATCTACTTTCATAGAGAGACACTACGAAACCTTGCTTATTTCTGCATCCATTTTATAGCTTAACAATTGTAGGAAGTGCATGTTACAAATAAAAAATATCAACGTCCCTGCGGCTTTAGCCTAGCGAGTAAGGAGGTGGGCATCCTTGCAGAATAAGACATCAACCCTCAATCATGACTACACAAATTTCAAAATCTAATACTTATTTCCCACACAAATCCCCCAGTCTAGCGTCATGCCTCATATATGACAAGCAAGATGAGCTTGAAACATCCCAGTTCTATAATGACTGCTGCACCAAGTTCAACCTTCCCAAAAGTAGAATGTACCACCTTAGCTTAGTCAGCTAATTTTTGTAATGTTTCACAGCTATCCTTACATACATATGACTCCGAAGCAAAATGATCTACACATCACTATAGACTGCAGAAAGCAGCACACACAAGGAGAAAGTGCTTAGCAGTAAAGAATCCCAAGTTTCCATAAGCTTGTAAACTTGGGTCATTAACTACATGTCTAGATCAGCAAACCTGTCATTCTGTCAACATTGAAACTGACCAGCACACTGCACACATAAGCCATAATCCTCTCTAGTCAGATTTCTAGCTACTTGGACATGAGTAGTACATATTTACAGCACAGTTTCATAGATGGAAAGAGCTAGCAACATATTGATGCCAATATCTCATATAAATTATCTTCTGAATGCCATCATCTATATGATTAACCCTCATGAAATACATTTAAGATATATTTGAGCCCAACCCAATTTTGTTAACATAGTTTTCCTTGTTGAAAAGGTATGGAGGCCTACTTAAGCTGATTTGCAACAAAATTGAATTACATGCAATATTGAGAAACTACCAAGTGTTTCATGGAATAAAATTTAACTTTCAACAAAAGAAATGGCACACAAATGCTGATTGACTTCATCAATAACATCAACAAATTCTACCAAAGGCCTTACTTTCTAAAAGATGATGCTCCAGAAATTTATGATACTTGTGCCGAAACAAAGTTGGCCAATTACATGTAACTTAAGAGTAAACTGATCCATAATTATCACTAAGAACTTAACTTGATCTTTCTTGTTATCAGCTTAGAAGGAATACAATTATTCAATGTATTAGCATGTAAAGGTGTACCATGATATAGGAAATTCACACACACACACATACGTATATATAATATTGTGTGTGTTGCTCATACGTGGTTACACTTTCATTTATCTTAGTCACACCTAAAGTGATGCATTGCAGCTGTTCCATAACTGCAAGTATATTGAAAATAGGCGGATCTTTAATTTGATACATGGACTTAAACATCATATTCATCAGATCACATAGTTCACCATTATGTTTGTCGTATAAAGAGAGAAAGTTGGATGTAATGCTACAATTTTTGGGCAGATACTAGACTTCATATAATTTTTCAATATAATATTTCTAGTAGATATGGTCTTTATCCCAAAACCCAGAGCAGCGAAGCTCCTCCGCTCTACCAGGATTGGGAAGGGAAGTACATGACCCTTCCCTTGCACTTTGCCATCTATGACCTGAACCTGTGACCTTCCGGTCAAAAAGGACTACCTCGCCCGTTGTTCCAACACTCACCACAGTTATAGACAAATATTCATATTTAAAAAATAAGTTTGTGGGATTGTATTGAATAAACCATCAGATATCTTAGTTCTATTCTCTCAATAAGAACTGCCAGGACCAAGAGTCCTTCTACAGTACCTCAGGAGAAAATCCCTTCACATTGTGATATAGTGAGGGGCTGTTTGGCGGTTGCTGAATGGTTTGGTGCAGAATGGTTAAGTGGTCAGAATGGTTAAAAGGGCCAGAATGGTTAAGTGCTGAATGAAATAATGTTGTTTGGTAACTGTTCTCTGAATGACAGTAAATTACCATTTTAACCCTCTGAATGATTTAGTACTGAATGAAATAGAGCTGTTTGGCTGATATCTGAATAAAACAATAATTTTACAAAAATAACTACATATTTCATATTAATCCAAACAAACGTAACATTATTAGTKCGAAACAAGATTTCATATTAGTCCAACCAAACATAATTTTTCAAATTCAKGAATAAACAATAACATAACAATCCAAATTCCAACATAATAGTTTTTAACAATTCTTAATTTGACGGATTTAACATTRATTGATTCGCAATCTGGTCACGTAAATTAGTCATATATTGATTGTTTTGAGTGCCAAAAGGCATTCCATCCATGTCATCTTCATCGCCTCCCTCGATTCCTTCTTGTCCCTCGGCAATAAACATGGGGTCGTTGTCGTAATCCATGAATAACTGATCGTGGATATTGCATTTTCGTATAAAATTATTCACCGGTTCTAACCGCATCCACATTTTCCTATAGTCGGCGCTTTCACCTAAAACAAATAGTGCTACATCATGCAATGGTGCACCCCATCCAAGTCCCTCTAACTTCTTCAAGCAATCATCAAGATCATCTTTTGGTGCTCCAGAAGCAATGTTCCTCTGTTATTTAAACAGAAGATCTATAACAATCTATAAGAAAAAGTGATAATGGCAATCTTCAAAAAACCCCATCTAAACAGAATATCTATAGCAATCTATAAGAAAAAGTGATAATAGCAATCTTCAAAAAACCCCATCTATAAATAGTTGCATCTAAACAAAAGATCTATAAAGAAAAAGTGG